CAGGTGTGTGTCTTTCTGCAGATTAATCAGCCGTTGATATTCATCAGCTATGTCATTTAATGTTAACTTGGGATTTTGTTCTAGCTGATTGAGCAGTCGAGTTCGGATATCTGTGAAACGAGGAGATTGAAGACTGCATATGAGGATCAAGGCTTTGAATTGATCATCTGTTAAGGACCTGAGTCGAAATCTCTCACATTCTCGGTTAACTGTGCCAACGTGAGTAAGAAAGTCATCATTTTCATTCATTGTCAACTTGAGGAAAAGATGACGTATCCTGAATAATGAGGAGTGGTCTCCAAAATGTTCACTCAGCAACTTTATTGTATCATCGAAACAATTGTCACGTGGCTTTCGAGGTAAAATTAGGTTGCAGTACCTTTCATAATCTGCAGGATCCAATTTACGTAATAACACTCGCACCATCCAAGCATCGTCTTGTGAGGCGAGATCAACTGTGAATAACTCCTGGCAGCATTGATACCATGTGTCAAAAGTGACATTAGCATCTGGATTACAATTGAACTGTGAAATACTATTCACAATTCTGTCGACAGATGGTGGCATGATATGATTCGGATTGCTTGAAGGTGAAGTTGAACCAGTCTGTGTGTTGGTGAGCATCTCCATTAATTTCATTTGTCGCTCAAATAGTAATTCCAACTTAGAAGAATCCATAGTTTTCGCCGTCGCCAATTATGTTATGTACTCGTCGAGTGGTTAATAGTCCTGACGCGGAAAGAGGGAATCAGAAGACCACCTCGTTCACTATGATACTTCTATTTTCCTAACAAGGAAAAAATAAATGTCACACAAGAGTGTGAGTGAAATGGTACGTGGTGTACGAAAAGAATGTGAACAAGTATGAACAAGTCTACAATACAAAAGAATATATGAAAATGACCAATATACATGGACCAATAGACAGACAGCCTTACCATGATTGGTTGTAATGTCATGTGATAACAAGGTCATACATTGTTTATTTAGTCAGTGGACAGACAAAAGCATATTGTCAGTTATAATGGAATATCGATCCATATACACATGGGAAAATATAACAGACTGTCAAAAACAAAACACACATCATGTGGATACATATCATGGGGACGCATTCTAATGAAGTTCCGTGACAACAACAAGTGAGTAAAACTCGGTAATAGCGGGTAGTCATTGAATACTAGGTATTACTGGACAATCGCTTTTTCCTAGTTTGCAACTCCTCAGCCGCTCCCAGTTGCCTGGGGATCCACTGATCATGGGATCAAGTCCCCATAAACCAACACGCAAGAACTGGGCTATTGCTGGCTAGTAGTTTACTGCAGAATGGGTTTCTTGGAGTTGTATTGAGAAATCCCAACGAGTGGTATATATCATGTCAGCTGTGTAGACAGTTACCTACCAGTGACTTTAGCTGGCGGTAGCGCCACATATTGCCCTATTGTTGACGGGAATACCTCGTAGTATGTAGCACGTGTGTTTGGTCACAGTTGGGCGGGGTCAATTTTATATACTACTGCAGGGTTCTTATCTAGGGAGAAGCATGCCGTGTTTTTCACTCGTCCTCTCTCTGATGTCAATTCACCATCAAACTTAAGATATGCATAATTACTGTTATGATCTACTATCAGGCGTGGAAGAACATTTGAACTCTGTGAAGGTGATGTCAAATTAAGCACACACCACCGTCTCAGGAAGGAAGAATAGGCAAGACAAGGAATGGCTCTCTACGGACTGCTGGAAGCTTACGGAAGATAGGTGGAAAGCGAAACAGAAGATGAACAAGCAAAGGAGAAACTGATCTCAAAGTACATCTCACTGAATTAAGAAAGAAGTGAACACCAGTGCTAGGAAAGACAAAAGACAATTCTACGAAACACTGGTAAGTGGAGTAGAGCAGGCTGATATGTATCCATATGATGTGTGTTTTGTTTTTTTACAGTCTATTATATTTTGCCATGTGTATATGGATCGATATTCCATTATAACTGACAATATGCTTTTGTCTGTCCACTAACTAAATAAACATGTATGACCTTGTTGTCACATGACATTACAACCAATCATGTTAAGACTGGCTAATTATTGGTTCATGTGTATTGGTCATTTTCATATATACTCTTGCTTGTACACTTTTATATATACTTGATCCCACGTTTTCGAACACTACGTACCCTTTCACTCACACTCTTGTGTGACATTTATTTTCCTTGTCTGGAAAAATAGAAGTATCATCGTAAACCTGGTGGTCTTCTGATTTCCCTCTTTCCGCATCAGGACTATTAACTATTCGACGAGTACATAACATAATTGGCGACGAGGAAAACTCTATTAACCACTCAGCTAGTGCATAACTCAGGCCGAAAGCGAAAGAGTCGAGACAATATCATGTCAGATAACTAGGTCTCCATTCGGAAAGACATCAACACAGATGAAACCAATGAAAGCTGTTAGTGTGAGTAACGAAATCGCCAAATAGAGGAAAGAAAGGAGACATTGGACTAGTCACTTCAAAGGGCTTTTCAACCGACCATCACATGAAACTCGTTCAGAAATACCTCCAACAACATACACGGAACAGCGAGTGGACACCAATCCTCCGAAAAAAGTCAGAGTTCTGAATGTCACAAAGGTGTGAAAGCCAGGAAGACAGAAGAACCAGACAAAATTCCTCTGGGGACACTCAGAACGGATGCAGAGACCTCAGCAGACACCCTCACGTCACTACTTCAAAACAATGGGAAGGTGCCTACTGATAGGAACAAAACCTACTACCGAAGAAGAATAACCATGAGCATCTGCAAGAACTGGCTCTCTGTATTTTGCCCATGTCCACGCCAAACAAAATATAAAGTCGCGTCATTCTGGAGAGAACAAAAGATGTCTTATATGCAAAACTCTGTCCAAAACAAGCCGGATTCGTAAAATGCAGATTATGCACTCGAAGCTCAAAAAAGAAACCCACCAACAAATTCTGGACATTGTATTCTACGAATAGTGCCTGAAATATACGGAAACCCGCACAAAAGTGCTTTCTTGCATCACGGTAAGAAAACACAACACAGGTGTCACCCTGGCGACAATATACAGAATCTTAGAAGCATCTTAAAAGATACTAACCGGGACTTATTTACTGAACAAGTTCTAGACGACACAATCACAAATGTAATGTGTTGTCTCAAATTCTATCTTGATATTTGTTGCCCAGAAGAGACACTCTTCTTAAGATTTTATTGATTCGCCTCTTCTCAAGTGGAAATCTTTTACGAGAAAACAAAGGTTATGTAAAATGAAAGATAATCCTGGTATTAGGAGTCTGAACGGTTTAATCAAGTTTGCAACAAAGAGAATAAATACGATCAATAATCAAAAGTTTGTAAGTACAACTATATTATTTGAAGAAATTACCTAGTGGAGGCCAAATAAACAATGAACCCCCTTCACTCGATGATGGTAAGCTTAATAAATCCTCCATATATGTCATCCAGCAGATATCATGTTTTCTGGTGCTACAAATGAAGTGAATCATCACTTCCCTGGTTTAAATACAAATGGTGTTATCAAACGTCTCCTGATGGAGTACGCGTTATTATTCTCAGAGAATGTGTGGGCATTTCCAATGAATCATTTTCCACAGATGGTATATGCCTGCTTCTCGAAATTGTATCTCTGTCGCAAAACATCAAGTGGATGATGAGTTTTGTCGAGACATACTGTTATTACAGAGGCACTTTTTAAAAGTAATGCACAAACTACTCATTCAACAATCCTAAACAACTTGCTTATACGCATGGTGGGTGTACATTAGATACCACTGTTGTTCTCCTACATGATAATATTGTTTCTAGTTTACACATAGATGGTAAATATCTTCGGTTCATAACTTAAAATCTAATAATTACTCATACAGTGAGTGGATCTAAGGTAGAAATCTTATGAAATAATTGAATTCCTCTTGTTCGTATTGAGTGACATGTCAGGTTTCGTGCTAGTTGGCACTCGTCAGCAAGGTATATCTGCAAACTTGAAGGAACTCATGTGCATTCTGAGATTCGAACCCGCGTCACCTGACTGATAGAATCCAGTCTGCACCAAACAGAGGACTAGACATGTCGAACTTGTTAGTAGAGTCCAATCAAAATACTCTGAATGCCATTCATTACTTTGTAATTTCAACGGGAATCTTTTGCATACATCCAGTTCCCTTTATCAATCAGCCTAAATAAAGAAAGAACAAAGAACATTTGCAGGATACTATGAGGTCGTTTTATTTCGTGGATTCTCTTCAACTGCGTACATCCTCATATAACATTTAAAAAAAGGACCATGAACGTGACAATCACTTCCACTTCCTAGATCTCAACATTAAA